AAACTACAAGGGAAATATTGGCCTCATTGTTTGAAGTCTTTTCATTCGAAAAAATCGAGTCCACCAGAAGGACGAGTGTTTACACTTTCCCAGTACAGTACTCGGTCGGCTGTCTGTCTGTCTGAGTACAGTACTCCGTCACCGTATTCATTGATAGAGGTTCAATTATTTGGCATTAGATGCATCCTATTGTGCAATCATCGAAAACTACCGGAAAAAAAATATTGACCTCATTTTTTGAAGTCTTTTTTCCCAATTTTTGGGAATCAAAGTTCAAAAATTTCAATTTAATTTTCCATTCTTTGTCGCGTACTTTGAGTGTAAAGATGGTGCAAACACAAGCCTTCTAGTGTATTCGGCTTTTCACTTTTAATGCTCTAAAGTCACTCCTGTCTGTCTGTCCAAAGTACAGTCACAATATAGTAATTGAACCGTAGAGTTCAATTTTTTGGCAGCCAAATCATCGAAAAATACCGAGAAAAAAATAATTGGCCTCATTCTTTTGAAGTTTCTTTCATACTTTTTTCAGAAAAATAAAAAAGATTACCGTACCCTGAAAACTGATTAGAGAAAGAGAAAAACGAGGTTCACCCTAGAGACAATGATTAGTGAAAGAGGGGGAACATTTCAGAGAAATCTCTCAAATATTTCCGAGTGTTGGAGTGAAAGCGAAATTTTATGAACTGTTGAATCAAAACTGTTGAATTTCTTCGAAGAATGAGTCGGAAATTTGCTAATTTGCATCCCAGATGGGAAAAGAGTGAGGCTAGAAATGGCAAAGATTGAGCAAGCGACTCCGCTCTTTACTCGGCTTTTTCTTTGGCGCCGCGTCACTTTTAAAAGTCTTTAGCTTGATTTTTGCTCGATATGGAACGCAGCTTAAACATTTTGATACTTATTTTTTAAATAAACAAAGATAAGTATACTCTGGTGTTGTACTGTAGCAAGACAATAGCTACCGTATTTTTTTAGGTCTTTTTGTAGGTCTTTTTAGGCCAGATAATGGTTGACTTTTTGGCTTTTTCGTTTTTAAGACCGTTCAGATCTCCGCTTCTAGAACAGCAACTGTTCTAGAAAATTGTTTCATTGGAAAGTCAAGAATATCAGCTTTTGATTGCTATTTTACATAGCAATATGTAATGACTAAGCACCTTAAAACCTTTATTGATACTTATCGATATCGATAAGCTTTCGATATTCGATAGCTAACTAAAATCCGTAACTCCGATCAATAATTAGTAACTTTTTAAGGCAGATGCAGACACAATCGCGACATGCGGATGCAGACACAATCGGCCTGCTGGAATGGGAGGAAAGGGGAAAGGGAAAGGGGAAAAGAGAAAAAAGAAATTAAAAGAAATGAAAAGAGCGGAACAGGTGGGGCTTCGGAGGGGGCTCCTGGCCTTAGATTGAAAGAAACGGGAGGAGAGTGGGTATTCGATCAGCTTTAAGTTTATGATGTGAAAGGGCAAAGGGAGGAGAGAGAGGTAGACAAGAACAAGGGGAAAAGCTCAAAAGTTTTCATCGAACTAACATCCCTCAACATTTTCTCTTTTTTCGTTTTTCTGGACTTAAAAATTAGAAAGCAGAAAGATTTTCGTTTATTTTTTTTGAAACAAAAATGACATGTTTTTTGAGAAAAGATTTAGTAAAATGAAAAATTAGAAAACTTTTTGACAAAACAACAAGTTTTTGATCATTTGGAAAGACATTTTATTCATTTTATGATTTTGGGACAGTTTTTATTTGAATTTTCAAATGGACAATTTTTAAATTTTATAAAATTTCTTTTCTCTGATCTCTGATCGATTCGAGGTGGGGATTGGAGGAGCTCATGGCCTTTGATTGAAAGAAACGGGAAAGAGAGTGAAAAATTGAAAACTTTTTTGACAAAACAATTTGGAATGGACAATTTTTAAATAAAATCTAATAAGATTCATACTAGAAAACAAGTTATTATTCTTCTTTAGAAATGATATAAATCTAATGACATGTGTAAGTTAAAGACTCACGGCTCAAACCAGTTTCTTTCCAGATTTTTTGATAAATTGAAGGAATACTATTACAGTATTTACGGTATGAGAATCTATCCTAAGTTCTTATCTAGATTTTCAAAATAGATAAGTTATTTTGAGAAATGATATCTCTGAAAAAGGACAGGACAAAAATTTTAATCGGGAAAGCCATGGGAAACGTTTTACTTTTGGAACAGAGTGTCTAGAGCTGATGCAATAGGAAAAACAAAGGAAAAAAGAAAGGAAATACGACAAGATCAAACATGGATAGACTCGAGATTTGAGAAGAGAGGGGGGAATCTTTTAGAGATCGTGTGGAATGGAATTTAGTTGTCTATTTGTCTATGACAAAAATTTCAAGAAAAAACATATTGGTTTTAAGAATGATAAGAAGAATAAGAATGAATTGTTGTTGTTAAGAAAGAATCCAAAGAATAAAAGAATCAAAGACTACAAAGAGACGGTATTCGTTTTGTTTTCCATTTCAATCCGAAAAACAATTGCTTCTTCAATGGGAAAACACGCTTTTCACCTTATTTACTTAGACTTCGATTGGGAAAAAGAAAAAACGTTGGATCCTTGCCAGAGTTTCTTTTTGACATAATTCTTCTGTAAAAAAGGAATGATAAAAGCTTAGAAATATAGGACTTATGAATTGGAGGAACTTATCAATAGATTTATGAATACTATCAATATCAAATAGATCTATTAAATAAAGTTGTTTTTCTTTTGAACTTACTCATAAACTAGGCTCCGATCAAAGATCTCAAGACTTTAACTCCGATCTTTTAGTTCGCTTTTTTTTTGGAAAAGAATGATTCAGAACGGGAAAAATATCTGTGAGATTTCGTTTTCTAAGGCTTGAATACTTTTTTAAAGAATTTTTCTATTTTCCAATAGTTTTGCGATGATTCTAAGCTCGCTGAAAAACAAAATTTCAAAAAGAAAAAACTTAAGAAAAACGCTGTTCAAATCGAAAATTTCGTATTTTCGAAAGTTATGCAAATTTTCAAGTTATTTAGCAAGGGGTAAAGAATGATTCAGAAAGTCTAAATAAAAATACCATATTTAGAAAAAGAAAAATATCGAACATGTGCTCCAACCATTCCCATATTGGACCTAAAGATTTAGTTAGTTGCAAGGCAATAATTAGTTACTTGAGGAATGAATACTTTTTACTTATGCCCTCACTTTGCGCATTTTCCTTGAAGGTAAATCTTAGCTGGAAAGTAGAGTATTATGGGATCCGTGGCTAGACATGGGCACAGAGGGTTTAATATATAGCCCCGATAATCGGGTCTAAAAATGAGTTTTATTTGTTTGAAAATCTCTCAGGAAACGATTTGGCGAATATATTTCAATGAACTTTGATACTAAATATGGAAATTTCAATATTTTGCCATATTTTGCAATTATTGTGTCTGATATAATGCTGAAGATGAAGACAAAGTTTAAGGGAATCTTCCAAATTGGGTGGGGAAAATCAAGAATCGATTTCTTCCAAATTGGGGAGCAAGATTTCTTCCAAATTGGGTGGGGAAAATCAAAGAATCGTTCCGTGATGGATGAGGCTGAATGAAAGCTAACAGGAAAAGAAAAAGGCAATAAGCCATGAAAATAAATTTTCAGAAAATCCATTTTATCTAATCTAATCTTTTTCTATGGAAGCTTGCAACTTAGGGTTCAGAAAAACCCCTTTACTCAAAAGTTGTTTTCGAAAATTTTTAGAATTTTAACAAAATTTTTAGGTTATAAATTTATCTTCTTAATTTGTTGTGGGGTAATGGTTGTGTCCCACCGAGGAAACCCACTGGATTTTACATGGATCAAGATCAAGCGGAAACAGAAACAATAGAATTTTCCTAAACATATCATTCATCTTCGTAAGGGGCACCGGTTTCACTGTCGGCAACCTAAAAATTCTTGTCATTTTAAGGTTAACCGATGGACATTTTTCCTTTAAACCCCAAAACCTTAGCCCGTAATGTTTACCGTCAAGTTAAACGATATCCTGTAATGTTTACCTCCATTCCCAACAATCTTGCCATTTTATTACAAGTTTTCCCATAGTGTGACTCGAATGCCCAAACATTTGACTGTTCACCATATCGCTGCCCCTCCAACGCTTCTCTTGACATCCATCGAATGGGCAAACGACCTCGGGTGCATCATCTAGAAAATGAAGAATATAGATTTTAATGAAAAAAAGTTTGCACGGTGATTTCTCAAAAACGCCACAAATTCCTGAAAGTTTTGTCCTTTTTTAGGTTTCTCTTAAAAGTTTCCTAGTTGATTTTATAGCCAAAAGATAGCCAATTTTTTTACAGAATTTTATACCTGATCTCTCATTGTTTCATTCGTCGAGATTTAGTGGCAAGGGATTGTTTAGTTGATGAGAACCGACTGATCAAAGCGTTGACATTCGGGATGATGAGATCCGCGTATGAGGGGGATTATTATACGGTGAGTAGGAAAATGGTTGTACTAGATTGTACGAATTTGATTGATTGTAATGATTCTAATGATTATAATGATTGTAATGATTGTAATCTCCAATTGCGAATTGTTTATTTTTAACAATGAGATTTACAAATAGTTACAATATTTTGTTTATTTGCCACATCATAAAACTTGAATAAAATGAACAAAGTCTGTGCTGGTTGAGTTCTGCTCCACAAAGTTTTAGCGACTATTTAGAATGTCTGGCAAATCTTTTGAGCTAATCTTTCTACTGATAGGCTAGACTAACTTCAATACTGAAAAATTGTCCGAATCGGCCCTGAATGGGTCCCAAATCGGAACCATGGAACTTGTGAATGTCCACCTGGATATTACGAAGCAATTGCTCGGAAGGTTAGGCTTGTCGTTTTATAATAATTTGAAGCAAACTAGTGGTCAGGCAACTCAGGCTCACCCGCCGGACTCCCGGAGGCGCAGCAACAATTCCGCGAAGTCTTCACCTCGCCAGCTCCCTGCTCATCGGAGATGGATCAATTGGTAAACTTGCGCCGGGGATATAAATATAACTCTCTGATATACCTAAAAGATTATTATTGTTTGCAGGTATGTGGCTCGTCGAAAGGATCCATTCCCAGTGCCGATAATCCGGATTTCTACCAAAAAGATCGCAAAAAGAAGGACATTCACAATAGGAGTGAGTTCATTTCCCATTTCATTCATAATTATGAATCAAATCAGAAGTTTTTCAGAGGTTTTTCTAAAACCTATTAAACGAGTTTTTCAGTTGAACGCGATCGTCGCAATAATATTAACGACCGAATCAAAGAATTAGGGCTTTTGTTGCCTAAAGGAGCCTCAAGTGAGTTAAAATCAAATTTACAAGAGAAAAAACGCTAAATATTTACTTCACGTTGTCACGAGCCGAATTTAGAGAGATGAAGCTGGACAAAGGGACGATTCTCAAAGCATCTTGTGACTACATTCGAAAGTTGCAAAAGGATCGAGATGTAAGCGAAAAATAAAAAGCTTCTAAGCAAAGAATAGCTTTCAGGGCCTAATTAAGCAACGGCCGATCGAGTCAGGGTTAGTGAGGGAAATGCTGGGCTTAGCGTGGCTTCCCTATTTATTCAATTTTTTTACAGCACAGTACCTTGGCTTTGAGTTTAAACTATTAGTGTTATGCATTTTCTGAAAGGTCTTTTCAAGGCTTATCCAATGGTAATATTATTATTTAGTGGCGAATACTAGGGATTTGCAGAGGCGTGAAAGTGACGATCTTTTTCACATGTTATATGCAATATAGAAACATGCGATACTTTGCTCCCTAGAAGTCGAAAATCTTGATTAAGCCTTGTTTAGATCATCCTGAAGCTACCTGAAAATGAGCACCTACCATTGGTTGTACAGTCAATAGCGTTGTCCAAGGGCACTGTGCTGTAGTTAGAGATTCTGTAGCCTTAGAGTACTGTAGTCCGGAAACCCTGTAGCCAAATATTTCTTACGCTATGTTTATACAGCATGTTTAGAAGTTGTTTCCAGGGCACTTGGGGGCAAGTGTCAAGCTGTTTAGAAGATATCTGATATTTAAATTCCTACCCTATCTGAATTCCTCAATTTTCAGTCCCGACCCGAACACGGTATCGATGCCCGCCAATCACATAATGGACTATTCATGAAGAACTCCGCTTGCCAGTTAAACATCCAACAAACGCTTGTACATAAGTGTGTCCAGTTTCATTCAAAGACTTGATACGCATTTTCGTTCCCAATACTAAGCTGTCAATTTTAATCGTCTATATTTTAAAGTTAATAAATCTTAAAAATATCTCTTATACAAACTCTATAAGATCTTATACAAATAAAATAAACTCTCTTATACAAATTGCTTTAAATTTGCTTTAAATTTTAAATTAAAATTGCTCTAAAAACCCACCTCTTAAATTCGTGAAATTCAATAGCTCTGCTTGTCCTGAAAATTTGAAATCATTCACTTAAAACCTGTGGATTTTACATGGTAAAAGAATAAAGTCAAAATCTACTGGTTTTCCGGTTTCTTGTAACCATCGATCTGTATTCGATTCGGCTTTGGCATGATCTATAAAACGTATAAAAGATATCAAGAGCGAGAGAATTTGAACCGAGAAACATTGAAGAAAAAGATCACCATGAAAGGAGAGAGTTCAATATTATTAGAGATTAATGTTTTCAAAACGAATTTCAAACTGAGGCTTAAATTTCAATGTTGAGGGCTTCGAATTCAAGATAAACCTCAGGCTCAGGCTTAGGCTAAGGCTCAACTGAGCTATAGATTATTGTAGCCATCTATTTCATCTATTTCTAGCGAAGCGGAGGGGTCGATGCTGCTCAAAAAAATGATCTAAATTTTTAAAGATAATCAATGACTTTTGCAGTAGAATCAGAGGAAAAGTTTTGGAAAAACTACAGAAACAGGTTTAAGAACAAGCATTAAGAACAAAAGCTAGAAGAAAAGGATAAGGTTGTAGAGTTGACATTTAGAATATAAGTCCACTTCGAGCTAGAGATCTATGACCACTCATTTCAGAATCGGCGCTTGGCCTTCACAGAATCGGGGCAAACAATCGATCGAATCCCATTCATCGGACACCGCGACGACAGCAACAACTCCAGCCATCGCCACCCATTCATCTGCCAATGCACAGCCCGCAACATGTAGATGAAGGGCCTAATCAGAAAGCATCTAGATGAAGGGCCTAATCAGAAAGCATCTTTGATATATCTAGATGCAGGTCTAGATCCCATAAATCCATAAAAAAGACGAGATTTCTGGTTTTTTTTTGCTTGATTTCTGATTGACGTAATATTGACGAATTGATTGATGTAATAGTTGAATTCCGAAGTTTGTAGAATAAAAACCATATAGTTTCGTCATTTTGTTGATCATAGATCCGTATGAAAGAGTTATTGCTTAATTTCACCCGTTTCCGCAAGCTATTGTTTCAAAATGATACCTAGAAAAAGCGTATTCGATAATTTAGTCCTGGATTTCTTGCGTGCTGACAAAGCAAGCTCTGAATGCTATTTTTTGCGTTTTAAGTTCAACGGCTTTTTTAATGAGGAGCAAAAGGGAATTCTGACTGTTCAAACAAAAATCGAGCTAAAAATATTCTTTGAGTTTGCGGAAGTTAAAAACTGGAAAAATTAAGTTTGCCGGAAAGGTTGTGCTTGCCCGTTTTTGAGTAATATCTTAACAAAACAAGTATACCGTATTTTCTCTAATAGTAGTGCACCTCGGCGAGCCGAGTTGGCGACGATTTTACGGTTTCCAAGCTTTTACAGAAGCTCAACACTCAAATCCCCAACTAGATCTCATCGTCAGCTACATTTTCCGGCCCCACATCGATAGGTTCTGCTAAGCGGTTCTCGAGATTTCGAGCAATTTAGGCGACGCTCAGGGTGCACTACTATTAGAGAAAACACGGTAGTTAACCTGAAATGGTTCTTAAGACTTAAAAAACAATGATCAAGTGGCCAAAGGACTTACCAAAATATCAAAATTTCTATTTAAACAGGCTTGTGAGTGAGCCGTTTTTGAGAATTTCAATTTTAACTTTCCACATCTGAAAGTATTTCATTTGAAGTAATCTTTTTTATTGTTTTCTTTTGATTTCATCATTTTCTGAACAATTTTTGCGTGAAGCTCCAAAATTGTGAATGCATTTCAAGTTCATTTCAGTTCAATTTCAACATTTCTCAAAAAAAAATTTCTTTTTCAACAGCTTTACAAAAACAAAAAGGAAACAAAGAAAAAAACGGTCTATCTCATAGAAATTATCGTGAAAATTGAAAATTAACGAAAGTTGGTGTCTCGAAAAATGCCTGGATCACAGAAGGGAAAATATATGAAAATATTCAGCCTGTAAAGTGATAGCTTTCAAAAAACAAATCTCATCCAATGAAAATACAAAAGAAATGATATAAAATGGGAATTTACAAGGCAATTTAGAGCTTAGTTTTTAAGGCTTAGAGTTTGATAGAGCTTCTGTAATGAAATTACTGGACAATGAAATATAATATTTGAAAACGATCGTGACTTTCGCGCGTCTGTAACTCCCTTGTCTTTACCGTATTTCTAAATATTAATATTACCATTGTGTAGCCCTTGAAAAGAGCTTTCAGAAAATGTAGAACACTAATAGTTTAAACTCAAAGACAAGGGAGTTACAGACGCGCGAAAGTGGCGATCGTTTTTCAAATATCATATTTCATTGTCCAGTACTGTACCTTTCCTATCTTTCCTATAATCTTTTCATCTGAAAATTCATCTGAAAATTTGAAATCATTCACTTAAAACCTGTGGATTTTACATGGTAAAAGAATAAAGTCAAAATCTACTGGTTTTCCATTGGATTTTTTTTGCGATTACTAAGCTAATTAAAGATTTTTAATTAATTTCAATTGTTTTTTGACGCCAGTAATGAAAAGTATAGAAAAAGACAGGTGTCATTTTAAAGCAAAACGTCTGGAATGACTTGTGATAAAAAAGGAAAGCTTTCTAATGAGAAAAGGAAGAGAATATTGCATTGTCACAGATTCAATTTTGAGCCCATACTTTGAAATTCCCATTTATTGGATGGAGGATTGGAGGAAAACAAATGAAAGACCTGGGGATTGTTCGGGTTTTGTTCAAGCTCAGGTTCATTTTTCGTTCGATTTTTATTAATTTTTATTAATTTTATTAATCCGTTTTCGCACTTTATTTTTTTCTGAATAAAGTATTTATATAAATGATTTATCTATAAATGATTTATTTATAAATGATATAAAATTATTCCACTTGCATTTATAAATGAGAAACAAATCCGCAGGGAAAACTAACGAAACAGCCATTTTTGGAAAACGTGAAAGTCTAATATACCTACATGTCTAATAAACGTCTAATATACCCACATGTACCTTGATTTTTCAAATACCATCGAGTACCAAGATAATCATCTTGATAAAAATAGTGATAAAAAAGGAAAGCTTTCTAATGAGAAAAAGGAAGAGATTATTGCATTGTCACAGATTCAATTTTGAGCCCATACTTTGAAATTCCCATTTATTGGATGGAGGATTGGAGGATGAAAGACCTGGGGATTGTTCCGGTGTTTTTCAAGCTCAGGTTCATTTTTCGTTCGATTAAAGCTAGAGAAATAAAGACGACAAATTAATATGCAAATTAAATGCAAAATTAATATCTAATATAATAGATTTTATTAATGCGTTATCGCACTTTATTTCTTTCTGAATAAAGTATTTATATAAATGATTTATCTATAAATGATTTATTTATAAATGATATAAATTATTCCACTAGCATTTAGAAATGAGAAACAAATTCGCACGGAAAACTAACGAAAAGCCATTTTCTGAAAACGTGGAAACATCCATTTTTTGGCTCTGCTGCCCTTTACTTTACTAAAATAGCTGTAAAATCTTTTAGAAAAGAGATAACTCAAGACTTTTGTACCCATCGATCTGTATTGGATTCAGCTTTAGCATAAGCTATAAAACGTCAAAACTTGACAAATTTAAGGTACACTCCCCAAATTTCGGAAACAACTTTTCCATCAACCCAATATCAATTAATCTAATGCTTGCTGCATTAGAAAGGCCTATTTTCTACAGAATCAAGAAATGTTATGAAAATTTGTTTTTTAGTATCATTAGTTTAGTTTAACATTAGTTTAGTATTATAAAGTTTATATTCTATAGTTTTTTATGTAGGCATGAAGTCGGATAGTCAAAAAAAGGCGACAGCGCGAAGACCCAATTTAAGCGTTTTATGATTTACATAAACCTTTTGTTGTCAATGATTGTCAATGCCAATGTCAACTATGGCCGAATTTTGAGAATATCTGTTCAACCGATTCCTTTATAGAGGTTTTTATCGAATTTTACTAAGAAATTGGTTGGTTTCTTTACACTTAAAGTCACTTGGAAGACTAAAATATGACTAAAATCGGGTTGAAATGATAGAAAAGTGAATGGAAAACATTTCCTATTTAAAGGAATTTGTGCTTTTGTCATTTCAATGTTATAAATGCTAGTAAAACAAGATTACCAAGATTACAAAGATTTATTGATCAAAAGATCATTGTAAGCTAAACTCAGCCACTTAATCATTATCGTCAAACGATTTCTTTAAGATTTAAAACAAACTCGTGGAGCTGCTTCTGTAAAGATGTTGTGTAGAGTGATGAAAAGGATGAAAAATGACACCA